GGGGGGGGGGGGGGGGGATGGGAAGTTTGGTTGATAAGTAACGATGAGCATCTTAAGGATGGTATCTCGGTTCATAAAGATAATTGGAATTGGGCAATGCTCGAGTCTTCTAGTAGAAGCACTCTTGCTAAAACTTCTGTAGTTGTGATTATTTCTTGACAAATGCTGATTGATGTGTTATTGTTTACTTCTTCACATCAAGATCTCCTTTTCTAAAGCACTTATCATGCATCAACAAAAAGCTATTGTGTCTGTATGTGTCCTAATCTGTTATAATGATTTACAAACAAATGTTGTATTAGAATTCAGAAGAAGATAATGGTGCAAGAGATCATTTAATGATCGTGAACCAGTAGCACATCTTACAATAACTAAGTTCTACAGCTTCCAGTCAAATGCTATGGCATTGCTAAAGAAAATAGAAGAAATGAGCACTTCCTTAGCCCTTCCATTCCCCAAAATGAGTTGGTCCTTATATTTTCTATATTAAAAAAAATGGCAGAAGTTTTACACCTTTTTGCCTGCTGCTCCTCTAACTCTCTTGTTCTGAATATCAACTTCACTCCCTGAAAACAGCGTCAAATTCATGCTTAACAAATTTACCACAATGAAGGTTAGCTCCAACTAGGAGTATTTGTAGAGCAATTGAACTCACAGGAATTGACTGCAAAACTCTAGTCACATCAGGAGATGCAGCTTTTCCCTCCACAAAAAGAAAGAAGAGTGAAACCCCAATGACCTTGTGATAGAACATCCAAGGCAAGATTTGTTCCAATCCTGCTGACGTACTTGTTGTAATGCATATCTACACATCGAGAGGACAAAAGAACGAAGCATAACAAAGAAAACAAAATTTAGTTTTATTCATTTCCATCAAACTCAGCATAAGGAAGCCTCAAAATTCCCATCAGAAAACAAAAAATTGTTATTCCCTTTCTAATCAGTCATCAGAACAACCACCTTCATAACCATTTTCAAATTCTCAGCTACATTCCACATATCGATGAATTACTAATACAACACATAAATCAACTTCACAACTCCAGTTAAAAAGGAAATTCCATAGAAGAAGCAGAAGAAGAAGAAGAAGAGCAATAGACCTTGGGCTTCAAATTCGATCCGCGATCGAACTTCCAG